TGGTGAAAAATTCTGAAACAATAAAGATTATATGCTAAACTTAAAAAAAAAAATAAAATAAAAGTCTCAAAAATCTGGAAGTAAATTTCTAAACTGTTTTAAAATCTTATAAATAAAGTGTTTCAATGGTCTGAAAATACTTTGCTAAAATACAGAAATGCTCTTCTGTCTAATGTTTGCAAGAACAACTGATTGACATTATGATATATAGGAAATTTTACTCGTCAATTAAAAAAACCTTTGCAAGATTGACTGATAGGATTGAAAAATAAGTATTATCACTCAAGAAATACAGCCAACGATGCACTTCTTCGATTTGGATTCATATTTCTTTGTGACATGGATTTTAATGACAGCAATGACAATCATTAAAAACAAGTATTAAACAGAACTTAGAAGCAGATCTTTGAATAGCTTTATCACTAAGTATTAACCTGTGATTATAAAAATTATGAGGCTTGTTCAATCACAGTTTTTTGAACCATTAGTGAAAATTATTCTAAAATACTGTTTATTTTAGTTTGACGTTTTGTATATGTTTTATAATGTACAAAACATGTCAACAGAGTAATTCTTGTATGTAAATTATAAATAGTAAGTTAGAAATGACTTGCTCAAAGATTTTTTGGGCAGAGTGGTATTTGGATAAACAATGTTTAGAGACTACTATTTTATAAAGCCATGCCGTACAAATGAGTAAGGGGACAGAAGAAAAACAATAACTGGAGGTAAGAAAATGGATCAGAAAGGAAAATAAATGGTAGATGAAAAAAAGACAAACTTTTCCATTTTTAAATACTTATACTAGTAAATATGGATACACATAGTTCCTCTAAGAGTTTACAATCTTGTAAGCTTTCTAATTATACCATAACAATTCAGTATTAAAATAGAGTATGTATAGAAAGGTACTTTCTAAATAATCCTATATCATAAAAATTAAATTCTAGAATACCAAAAATTAACTATATGATCCCATGGAGATAAATTCCTGATGGTCTTTTGCCAAAGAAGAGGTTAATGTAGTAGCACCATGAGACACCAATGATGCTGGGATGTTCTTCCTAACTTCATTCAACAAATATGTGTTGAGTCCCGCTATGTGACAGGCATTCTGCTATCCTTTTTCTTCTTCATATTGGTTGTCATAAGAATTTCTCCCAAGCCTAGGGATCCCCTGGATCTATACTTCCAGCCTTAACATAATTACTCCTCCACTCTTGGTAACTGTATGTTCATAATATGCTAACAGAACTGTAATATAATGTAATGTTTCATCAGTAGTATTCCCATATAACACGATGTCTCGGCCTTTCAAATTTCTAATTTAAGAAATATTAAAATGAATCGAATTCATGTTATCAATTTTGTAAGATAAAATATTTGTACGTTAAGTTTACTTATAATAAGAGATTCCTGTGTAAATTTTGATTATAAATAGGGACAGGAAGTGGGAGTAAATGAAGTAAACTAAGACATTCTTTGGAAATTATTATTTCATGTTGTGCTGGTTAAGAAGTGCACAGGCTCAGCTCTTCAGAATGGTGGAATAATTCTATTTGTTCTGGTAATTACAGAATTGTGGCATCTTCTCTCTCCTGTCAGGAACATGCTTCTGCCCTTATTGGCTGAAGGGATGGAAGAAAAATAATCTGACATAAATCCTTAAAAATGGTCACATCCCAGATTAATTTCATTGAGGAAAAAATTTCAGCATACTAAGTAAAGAGTGAAGATAATAATTAGAACTCAAAAACTAACTATTGATCGTCTCAAAAACAAAATTTCAGAGGCAGGAACTTTCTGCACTTAAAAATCCACTGAAAATCACCTGAGAAATTATTATATAAGCTTCCATTTTTCCCTCCCCCTCCTGCCTCAATCGGATAGGGACGGCCTGGTTTTTTCTTGAAGAAAACCCCCAGACAAGGCAAAGTATAACCTCGCAAATCCTTATAAGTACATACGTGGCGCTGAAGTTCAATGTTACCATTGTTAATTTCATTGCCTATCTTCAAAAGCCACTGTTGCATCATGTTAAATATATTTTCTTGGAGTGCCCTGGAGGAAAAATCAAGTAAAATAAAGATAAATAATTTGCTTAGAGCTGTGGTCCCCAAACCCTGGGCCACAGACCACTACCAGTCTGTGGCCTTTTAGGAACCAGGCCGCTCGGCAGGAAGTGAACTGTGGGCAGGTGAGCGAAGCTTCATCTCTGTTTACAGCTGCTCCCGTCACTCACATCACAGCCTGAGCTCCGCTCCTGTCAGATCAGCAGCAGCATCAGATTCTCACAGGAGCACGAACCCCACTGTAAACTGCGCATGGAAGGATCTAGGCTGTGGCTCCTTATGAGAATCTAATACCTGACAACCTGAGGTGGAGCTGAGGCGGTGATGCTGGCGCTGGGGAGCGGCTGCAGATACAGATGATCATTAGCAGAGAGGTTCGACTGCACAATAAATGTAATAATGTGCTTGAATCATCCTGAAACACCCCCCTGACCCCCAGTCCGTGGAAAAATTGTCTTCCATGAAACTGGTCCCTGTGCCAAAAAGGTTGGGGACCACTGGCTTAGAGTATAAAAGTAATCATCAGTTAGGAGAAAGAGTTTTATTTGGGTAGGCGCAGTAAACTTAGGTGTGACGATTTCTTGAGAACTCAGCAAAAGGTGAGTAAAAGCCCCGGACTGTCTGGTGTGATGGCTCAGTCGCTGACGCTGACGCAGCCTTCCTAACCCAGGTCGGTAGCAACTGGCCTGATGCGCTGTGGACAAAGCAGATCCCACCTGCAACACTAGCTCTCTACTGTGAACACTTAACGCCCTTTATATTCACTTCCGGGCCAGTAGGCTCTTCTCACATAATGAGAGGAATGAAATTTTAAAATTCTCTCGATGACTGACTTCCAGCATAACTGTGTGGGCAGCGTGAGAAGCAAGGCTGGCCAATTCCCCAGTGAAAATGGTTAAAATCATTTTTTAACATACCATTTAAAGCCTCTGGAAACGGTACTAAAGATAAACGAAAATGGCAGAAACATCTCCTGAAGAAAATCCTTGCAGGTTCAGTGAGAAAGGCAAGAACCTACGGCACTTAAAACCAGCCTTCTCCCTCTCTTCTTCAGCTTCCTGAGGCAGAAACTCCACTCCGGAGGGCTGCGGCCAAGGACGCAGGCTCCCTCTCCCTCAGCTCCCAGGTAATTTTCCTCCCGGGGGAAAGAGGACATCAAGGTTTCTTATCCTGCCCCCACTGTCTGTTACTTGGTCTAGGTAGCAGGCAAGTGCAGGGGAGAAGTGGGGGTCCCCTCCTCCGCCCAGCCCACACCTACGCAATAGAATGGAGACTCTGCCTGAGGCACAGCACGCTGAGAACGCTGGGGCCTGATTTCCCGGGTTTGCGAGGAGGCGGCCGCTCCACTGCAGGAGAGACGACCCAAGAGGACCTGAGGCTGCTACTCTCCCCTATCAAAAGTGCTCAGCTCCCACAACGTGAGTGTCCCTCAGAGAGAAGGTTGCCCTTGTTCCTACACCCAGCCTCTGGAGTCCTACCTCAGAGATTTTGCCTGGAGGGAGAGGAAGCCAAGAAAACAGCTCCTAAACTATAGGTAAACTATTTAATAGTCTGCAGGAAAGAACCAGCGAACAGGACAGCTGGGAGGAGGCCACTTGGAATGAGAAATTATCAAACACTGATCTCAGGAACTATTCTTTCCAAGGAGGCAGAACGATATGAGACTGGTTTGTAGAGCGATATATGTCCCAGAGAATTATTGAAAACAATAGAGCTACCAAACAGAAATTAGTGGTGTTTAATGGCTGGGTGTGACAGAGAAAAAGAGGAAGACAGCTTTGACAAAATGCTGTCATTGCAGAGTGACTGTGGGCACACCTGAAGCTGCACCTCCCTGGGAACAACATTGGAGGTTCAACAGCAGGAAGAGGGGGGCCGTAACCACAGTTGCTACAGTATATCATCTAATATGTTCAATCTCCAACAAAAACTTACAAGGCATGCAAACACACAAGAAAGTATGCCATATACATCAGAAAAAAGCAGGCAGTAGAAAACACCTACTAGAGTGACTGGACATTTGGTTTTTCAAAAACAGACTTCAGAGTAGCCATGATAAACATGTTCACAGAACTAAAGGAAACCATAATTAGAGAAATAAAGGAAGGTATGATGACAATGTTGCAGAAAATAGAGAATATAAATATAAAAATATAGATTGGAAAAAAGAAACAAATGAAAATTCTAGAGTGAAAAAGTACAATAGTGAAATTTTTAAAAAAGCAGGGCTCAACACTAAATATGACCTGACAGAAGATAGAATAATTGAATTTGAAGATAATTTGATGGAGATTGTACCAGCCAAAGAACAAAGAGAAAAAACGATGCAGAAAAATGAAGATGACCTCAGAGAAATATGGGATAACATTCAGCAAACCAAGAACACATAAAGGGAGCACTGCAAGTAGAAAAAAGATAAAGGAGCAGAAAAAAATATTAAAAGAAGCGATAGCTAAAAACTCCTCAAATTTATTGAAAAACAACAACTAACACTCAGGAAGCTGAAAAATTTCCAAGAAGGATAAACACAAAGAGATCCACAATCAGATACATCAGAGTAAAAATGCCAGAAGTCAAAATAAGGAGAAAATCTTGAAAGCAGCAAGAAAAAACAAAGCATAACTTACAAGGGAAATCCAATAGGATTAAGAGCTGACTTCTCAGAATAAATGACAGAGGCAAAAAGGCAACGAGATAACATATTCTTACTGCTTAAAGCAGTAACTGTCAATCAAGAGTTCTGTATCCAGCAAAGGTATCTTTCAAAAA